GGTCATGAAGGATGGGTCATGACCGAAAGAACGAGATCGCGGATACAAGCGGTCGAGATGGGTTTTCTCCGCAAGGTGGCTGGTGTCTCCCTTAGGGATAAGGTGAGAAGTTCGGTCATCCGGGAGGGACTCAGAGTTGAACCGCTCCTCCTTCGCGTCGAAAGGAGCCAGTTGAGGTGGTTCGGGCACCTAGTTAGGATGCCACCTGGGCGCCTCCCTAAGGAGGTGTTCCAGGCACGTCCAGCTGGGAAGAGACCAAGGGGTAGACCTAGGACCAGGTGGAGGGATTATATCTCTTCTCTGGCCTGGGAGCGCCTTGGGATCCCCCAGTCAGAGCTGGTTGATGTCGCCAGGGAAAAGAAAGTTTGGGACTCTCTGCTGAAACTGCTACCCCCGCGACCCGACCACGGATAAGCGGGAGAAGATGGATGGATGGATGGATGGAGAAACACTGAAATGTCAAACAATCTGTCACTTGTAAGAGTGCAGTGTAAACTATCCTCTCTGAATTTAACTTCCAAGTCAACAATACACACACATTTAAAGACACATAAATACGAGCGCACGGACAGACAAAAAAATACTTTACAACTAAGATACACATAGGGCTACACATGCTCTGACAGAGGTACACAGATGGAGATCCTAAGCAAGCATATTTGCAAACAGGGATATTCTTGGACCTCTTGGCATGGACACAGAGAGGCCTCTAATAAAATCTCAGACAGCAGCCAGACATCACCTTCTGTCCTACCATGTGGCACGTGGTAAGCACTGCACTTAAAAACTTAAAGGCTCATCTCGATGCAGGCCAAGTGATTCTCTCATCTTCTCACACACGTGCTGACACTAAAATCACACGAGAAGATCTGCTTCACACAATTATTCATTTGTGTTTAAACTACCTGTATCTCTATCCTGGATCTTCTTACAATCTCTAAATTAAGGGATGATCATAACGTTTTTTCTTCTTAAAATGCAACAGTAAAAACACAGTAATAACAGGGCTTAACACATTTTGAGGTGTTGATAGGAGAATTTGATTGCATAATTTAATATATATATATATATATATATATATATATATATATATATATATATATATATAGACAGGTAAGCACAGGCTTTGGTGTGTAGACTGCATAAGATAGTTTGGATTTGCAGATTTAAATAACCTTCTGCATGAATGTGTATCAGCTCTCTGGCAGGATCACCAGTCTTTGCTTTCAACACGGTGAAGCTGCTCAGCTTTCTTTGGTTTCCTAAATGCCCCAAGACAGGCACTTCAAATAAACACACACACACACACACACACACACACACACACACACACACACACACACACACACACACACACACACACACACACACACACACACACACACACACACACACACACACACACACACACACACACACACACACACACACACACACACACACACACACACACACACACACACACACACACACACACACACACACACACACACACACACACACACACACAAAACGCACTAAGCAATGAGTGTACAGCATGTGCAAATATGCTACGAATTCAGTTGATGGATACATATTTGCACACAACTGAATTTTTTTTCAAAGTACTTCTCCTCGCAGTAACCTCAATCTACATGAACCAACACACACAAATACTGGCAATGGGCCTAAAGTAATAAGTGTAAGTGCCCATGGTCTATAAAAGATAGACGTCTGGTGAGGACATGAAGTTGCAACGGCTTTTGCAAGTGTGTGAAGGGGGAGAGAGACAAAGAATATTAAGTGCTATACTAATAGCCACCACATGGGGGCAACAGATTGAAGTACATTCACGTTGCTTTTCAAATTGAGGTGTTGGGATGAGAGCCAGCGCTCAAACACTGATGCTTTTCACTGTGTCGTGGTCTGAACCCCCCCCCCCCCAAGACATATCAGAGGGGGAGAATTTTGAGCCAATCACAACTCATTAAATCTCTATACGGTTTATGCCTTTTGTTTATACGTAATTTAACGCCACGCACCAATAATGTTTAGTAAGGAAAGCAGCCTATGGAGGGTCAAAAGTGCCAACGTTCAACGTGCATAAATTGAAGAATAAATACAAAATCTGTTATAATGTCTTCATTTATGACACACATTACATCATTTACGACTTCTACCCAAGCATTTATTAATACATTTTCCAGATTTTATTGCTATCATTTACTCTTAAACTCAAATGTTATTTTAGTTTTGGTTTCTTACATTAAAATGTGTTTGGTTGGTCTATGTGTCTAACAATAGTAACAAATGATAAATTAAGAAACAGAAAGGAATGTGTTCAGAATAAACAGTTGGTGGCAGTAATGTACTAATTGTTTTGGTATCAACTGCCCCATTAAGAAGAACAATAGCGGACAAATAAACCTATTAAACTAACTAACTATTGACATGTATCACTTCTAAGCCATGCAATGCAATATAATAAAACAATCGGTAAACCATAAAACCTGTTTCCAGAGGCAGGAGTCTCGACCACCACACGTCTAAAGGGATCTCCATTCCTTCTTCTCTAACCTAAATATTCCCATTACAGTCTTTTAAATGACTGAAGGATTATAAATATCAGAGGCCAGGAATGGTCTGTGTGCAAATATTGTTTTAACCTCAGACCACACAACCCATCAAAATGAATAAGAGCCTGCAGAGGTAGCTGGAAGCAAAAATAATCTACCATAAATTAGAACTATTTTTAGACCTTCCACCCAACCATTTCACTTCCCGTTTTACATGATGAATCCCTGAGTGGCTCATTAATTCACCTTGTCCAGTGACAGCAAGATTGTGTATTATAGAAGCTGTGTGAAGCAACATGTCCTCCCTGTGTCAGTTTTATTTCCCAAACCATAGACATGGTGGACTGAAGACTTTAAATTGAACACGTTGTTGGACTATTTGTATATATAGATCCATATGTGTCCTATAAATGTGTACAGTACATCCTGTGATGTACCTTGACTCTTGGCCAATGCATGCTGGGAATGGCTCCACCCCCCTGAGCCCTACACAGGATAAGGGAATACAGAAAATAAATGGGAGGATGCACTTGGAATAAGTACTGTATGTTGTTAACCATTTGTTATATAATTTCATATTTTATGAAAAAGGTTTCTTTTCAGTGTAATTTACACATATTTAATTAATGTATTGTTTAATGCTGATTTAATTAAAGCAAAGGTAGCTACGTCTCAGTTAAATTGATAAAATGAGAACATCAAATTGAGCAATGGCCCCCTTGTACGTACATAGAATGTAGAATCAGACAGGCCCGGACTGGCCATCGGGAGGACCGGGAGGTTTCCCGATGGCCTGGCCTGTTAAGTGGCCTGCTGGCCTGACGATTTTTTTTTTTATGTATGTATTGTGAACGCAACGCTGCACAAATGTGGGTCTGACTCACAGAGGGTGACTGGCTGTCTACATGATGTGGCCTGCCGACATGGCCACTTTCATACAGATAATACTAATGCCCTCGATTGGTCTCGTGCAGGTCTCGTGTCATTCAAGCTCGGGAGTGTATGTGTGGCGCGAGCGAGAGAGAAAGCGTGCACCGGTTACGTGTATTGTTGTTGTTAGCATCTGGTGCTAGCTATCTGCGCTAACGGATATAATGGGCTGTCAACAAGGTGGAGGAGAGTCCTCTCCTGTCAGACTGAGAGGCTGATAACTACAGCTCAGGTGAGGTAAAGGACTCTGAGTGTTTGGATAGTTAACTTAGTCTAAGTTCTCTGTGGGTCTCAAACGGTTTAGTCACCATTTATGTAAACACATATTTCCTTTTGAAGGGGGAGTGATTAGTAAAATATGCATGAATAATAAAAAAAAGTTAACTAGGTGAAAAATGGTAAGATAAACTTTAAAAACTTGTTGAGAGCTAAAACTAGTCTTTGCTGCTGCCTCAAAGAGGAGCAGGGGGGAGAGGGGGAGACGGGTGAGGCTGGTTCAGGAGCCCAGACACACTCACAACTATAAATGAACCAAAAACAAATAAACAAGTTTCAATGTTTTTTCATATTGGATATGGTATGTTATTGGTTATGGCCATGTTCTTATGATTTTATGATTATTTAAATGTAGTTTTGTTTCATATGGGTGTAGTCTCTTTATTTCCCCCTCAAAGTGCACCAGATTGATGCATTTAAGTCCAACATTTAAAAAGAAAATCTTACCAGGGGAGCATGCCCCCTGACCCCCCTGGATTTGAGGTCCACCTCCACTTAAAATATGTTCACATGGATAGGTTCCTAAATAGATTTGCACATCTTTTTTAAATAGTAACCCATGTCCATATGTTTATTTTGGGGTAGTAGATTTAAAGTTTAGGGCTATCACTATGGGCAGCAACGCTGTAAATATTGACAAATAAATCCAGGAAAATGGCACAAAAGAAAACTGGTAGTGGCCTGGCTGGGTGTATAATTCCCGGCCTGACTTATTGTCCCAGTCCGGCCCTGGAATCAGACCTATAGTACAGTCTCAATCTTGTAATACCTTTAATTGTGACGAATTGTTAACAGAAGAACTAGTGCTTTAGTTAAAAGACATAGTGTTTGATATAAGTATAAATGATTCATAATTGGTTGTTAAAAGTGTCCATGGTGCCAAATTGTTACAAGCCATATTTCGGCAATAAAAAAACAAATTTTCTAAACATTTGAATTTTTTTGATGGGTCAAACATGGCGACCTTATTGGACATTTCAACTTGAAAAGCTTTTTATCATAGTTATGTGTCTGCACCTTCACCTAATGAATATGTTTGTTCTTTATCGTTAAGATGTCTCACCTGTTCCTCAGTACATTTGACCTGTGCCTCCTCTTGACCTCGTTTGCCAGGAAGCCGCAGCCATCTTTCTTTGAGCGCTGTAGCTACTGTGGCACCATCCAGTGACCAGGTGCACAAATCATCATTCACATCATCCACAATTAAATGTGATCATTACATCCATCAAAAACGGCTACTTTTTCCATTAGTATTTTTATTTTGTTCAGGACACCTTAGCTGGAGCCCCTGCTCCGGAAAGAAAGAGGAACACCGTTGTTGCTGATATATTAAGTCTGAGCTATGGTAAGTGCTTGTGCCTTTTAAGTAAAACGAGAGGTTTTTTATACAGCATTTATATACAGCGTCTATACATACAACATTCACACCAACATTTTTGCAGTGGGCATGCCGGTCCACATACACCATCCAATTATTCTTGAAAAAGGAAAAAATAAATGACAGGGAAACTAGCGTGAGATACAGACAAGCATCAACAAGGGATTCCACAAAGCATCAGGTTCAAGTTGCAAGAAAAAAAACAAGAGCATGCATATAAATCTTTGGGAATGGCTTCTGTTTAAAACATATATGGTTTATTCTAAATTTTTATAAGCTATTTTCACCTTGTTTTTTTGTATGGAACAACATACACTAGGAGGAGGAACAAGATAGGAGGTGTGATGAAGAAAAAATGTAAAAACACCCAAAACTAAATCAGCACAAGAAATCACAATGTGATAGAAGACACGGTTGATTTTATCCCTTGAATTGAGAACAATACAAATAGAAACTCAAAGTTCTTTCAAGGTAATAATACACTCTGAATGCTATTCCTAGTACACAGGTAATATCTAGTACATTCTAGTATACCAGTTGTTAAAGGTATTTTAAAACACAAGTTAACCCCTTGCTGCCTGCTCTACAGGCCAGGTTTCTTAAAATGCATACAATGGCTCAAGGTCAAGAAAGCTGACTTAAAGTAGGTTTTTAAACATTTCCCATTTGGTTAAAAATCACCTCTGTATTTCAATGTATCCGTTAAATGAAAATAACATGTATGCAAGAACATATTTGCAATGTTAGTGCTTGCCTAGCTATTTCTATGAATGATGTGCTGTGTGTGAGAGCATCACCGTAGTATGCTGGTGTTTGCTGTGTAAACTGTGTACTGTTGCACCAACCTTTAAGCTACAATAAAAATGATATGTTGCGTTTAAGTCCACTAAAGTTTTGTGAATAATGGCATTGTCATTTGTTGGGGAGGCAGTGTTGCCGGGGGTCAGTGTTGTGAGGCTCTAGTCATACATGCATACTTAGAAAACTTTCACACAATCATTTACAAACACACACTTCCTTGCGGAGGCGCGCGGGACGCTCTACTTCTTCCTGTAGTTGCCGAGCTGGATGGCGGAGCGGTCGAAGACGCAGCGGAAGGTGATGGGCTGGACTTCCCAGTAAGGAACAGGGTTGCCGAACAGGCTGATGCCAGAGTACATGGCCTTCTTGTGGTTGAGACCAGGAGGACAGAAGTCTTCTGTTCCCACAGCTGAAATCTTGTTGGTATGGAGGTAGATCACCTAGACAAGGGATTTAAATAATGACATCCTTTGGTCACTGAGTAGGAAGTGCATTAAGAAGATAATCACATGTCACCACTGAATAATATAGCTCTATAATGTTTAACTTAAAACTGTGGGAAAACTTCACAATGACTAAGATTGATGCTGCTTCACATTGAGAACAAGCAAGCCTACATGTTTTTAAAAACAGAAGCACATAAAAAACATATATAAACATGGCTAAAAACAACCAAGCAGCTGTGCATTGTGTTTGCAGCACAGTAGCCTTAATCATGCCGCTCACTGGGGCTGACAATATAATGCTAATTACAGATTCCAAAGGCGTCAGAAGTCCAAACACAGACAACTTTACAATTGAAAAAAGTTATAGCAAAGTAAAATCGCCATCTTAAACAACAGAAATTGTTTAATGTATGCAAAAGATCACAAAAACTTGAAAAATAGTTCCATGTCTAAGAACGCTTAGTCTATTGGCCTGTCCTGATATTACAATGTGATATTATAGTTTGGTTTAACATCCTACTTTAAAAAAATGCTGGTTTCGAGTTTCAAATATTCAGACATTCATATATAAACCCTTTGTCTTTTAGTATTACCTGATATGACTACTTCATTGTCCCAATTTGTAAGGGGGGGAATCCAGTTCAGCACAACTGTATTTCTCCAAACTATTGTTTTTGATAATAGTTTGGTTAGTTATGACTGCTGAGAACAATGCAATTAAAACCTCACAAAATAACCACAAAAGACGTGTGACAGGTGTGCAGTTTTAGTTCAGCAGTAGTGAATATATTTAACGAGCCAACAACATGAAATTTCCCTTTAAAAGGTTTTATGGGATGGCCATACTAAAGGGCATTGAACCAAGTCTGTTTATACTCCCCCCTACTGTCAAAATCTGTAACAATTTAGTATGATTGGCTATCAACAATTTACCCAAAAAACAAACTAAATGAATCCATGTGGCTTTGGTTATGAAAGCCTTAGTTGACTTGTAATCGGGCAGCGTGAACCTAAACAAATAAAATGCAAAAAAGCAACAAAGTAAACTCTTCCAGTATAGTTGAGAGGGGAGAAAATGAGCTGACTGTTTTTATACTGTAATATAATGACACATGTAACTATAGTGCTCGAGCAGAGGTAATTTGCTGGAACTAAATGGTTGTGATACCAATCTTCCTGTGATGCTGTTGTTATTCAAACCATGATTAATAGCAGATATAGGAATGAGCTCCCCATTGACATCAGGACAGCAGAAAGCCTGCACATCTTCCGGCGCAGACTGAAAACTCATCTCTTTCGACTCCACTTCGAGCGATAGAATTACTAACAAAGAACTGCTAACAGAGCACTTATATACTAATAAAGGACTGGCCAGTTGAGTAGCACTTGAAATGTTTGGCTCTATGAAACCTGATGTACTTATATGATTCTGTTTTCTTCAAGGTTGTGTCTTCCTGGTCGAATGTACTTATTGTAAGTCGCTTTGGATAAAAGCGTCAGCTAAATGCAATGTAATAATATACAAGTACAGTAATTAAAATGCAGTACACACCTGGATGTACTTGTGGTCGGACAGGCCAGCAGGAACAGTGGTGAGAGCGTTGTTGTCGAGGTGCAGCTCTCGCAGGTGGGGGACGTTAGCAAGAGTGCCATTTTCCACAGAGCTGATCTCATTGTAGCTCAGACCCAGCCTGCGGAAAAAATACGAAAGATGAGACATGGAAAAGTGCTATGTGTAAAAGATCAAGGAACAAAAGGGCGAGTTGAGAAACCAGGAACTTGAAGACTTGAAGGTTTATCATTACTTTGAGAAAAAATATTATTAATTTTCCCCTTTTAGAAGTGTAGTTATGGTCATTTGTTCTGGAAATGTCCTTTTCGAGCCTGAGACCTGAAAAACAGGATTGGGGCTTAACAGGTTAATGACATGTCTCTGGCTGCCAAAATGATCCCCAAACAGAGGAAATGAAGATAAGGAATTACAGCTGTCATTAAGGCCATTACTTTCCCAGTGTATTTTTTATTATGAGAGAGGGGAAATAAAAACTATCCTCCGCTCATATCCTCTCCAACATCCACACATGCATCAAAGCCCTCATTGTTCAAGAACGGTATACTATCTTTGGCACAATGAGCAGTAATCTTATAAACACAGTGAGTCTACATTTATCTAAGCAAACCAGTTATTTTGATTATCCAAAAACTGTGTTTAGCCCTTAAAGGTCCCATGTCATGGCCATTTCTACTGATCATAATTCCATTGTTGATGTCTACTAAAATAGATTTATATTGTGCAATGTTCCAAAATCACATTGGTTTCTCATACAGCATCTCTGTATAGTATATGTATTCACTCCCTGTCCCAAACGGCTTGTTGGAGCTCCTGCCCCTCCCTCCCTATGAGCCCAGTGGCTGTCTGCGAGACAGCGAGACACAGCGAAACCCAGCCCGAACACACACCCGCAGCCTGGCTGGGAGTTTGTGTGTGTGCTCACCCACCGACTCACAGCGTCCCGCCGTCTCATGGAGAAGAAATCGGCGGAGCTGCAGCTGAGAAAAGATTGAGTGTGTGTGTGTGTGTGGCCTTAACCTAACCGCTCCGTGGACGTAACGTAACGGCTCCACGGATTGGTCCATTTGGGTATGGGCACGTCACTGTACCCAGGAAGAAAACAATGGAAAAAGAGAAATCTCCAACGAGGCGTTCTGGGGCAGCATATAGACAGGTCTTTTCTGTGTTAGAGTTTTACTCGCTACAGGGTGTACTTTGAGGGTTTTGACTCTGCAGACCGTTTACATGCAGAAAAAGCTACATAACACACAAGGGGACGGGTAATAACCGGAAAAGCATGACATGGGACCTTTACGTTTTTAACAGTAAATCCCTTAAATGGTTATACGAGAACTATTGTTCCATGTGAAGTTCATTTATGACAAACCCGAGAATGAAAGGATGAGAAAACGAAAAACTGATACCATAAACAGAATAAGAAATGCAGAAGTTGTGTTTCCAAAGGGGAGTATGTCATTTAAGTCCTCTTGCTAAATACTAAACAGTAACTTTTTTCGGCTACAACCACTTGGTCCTTGACAAGTACTGTATGGTGGCTAATGTTGTCAAATTTTAACTCTTAACTTTAAATAGATCTATATCTACTTTTTATGTAATAATGTTATAAAAAAAGTCAAACAACATGTTAACACAGCATACGTCAGCAGGAGAATATTTGAAAATTAAGGAAAAAGTTGATGAACAATGACATTGGCACCACAGTGACAGCTGTTTAAAAGTAGTTAAATAATCACATTTTTATAATGAATTAATAATGCTATATATTAAGAGAGAATCATAATTGTTATTACTTGGCCAGGTTCTTCAGGCCCTCGAGGTTGCTAGCGGTCACCTTGGAGATCTTGTTTCCATCCAGGTGGAGCTCAGAGAGAGAGCTGGGCAGACCTGGCAACCCACAAGACAAAGATTAACAGTAAATTACATTATGTAGTGACTTTGATGTATAAACAGGAAGTTGGAATTACATTTCAGCTCCAAGGGTTAGGGTTAGGGTTGGGGTTTCAGGTATAATTCAAGGAAACACACCAGATATGTTCCCTCCCCAAGACAGGCTAGTTTTGAATGACCATGCCGTTTTGTTTTGTTTACGTTGAGTCTCTAGTTTTGCTGTGGACTTAAATCCACCATGCATTCTGTTGATATAAGGCTTTTAGTCGACCCTGGATACAATTTGTATTAGGCCAAACTAATTGTGGAAATAAAATTGAGCGCTTTACCTTTAGGGATCTCTGTGATTTCGGTGTCTGCAATGCGAATGTAAGAGACCCTCTTCAGATCAGAAAAAGCATTGGCCTCGATTCCTGCACTCTTCAGAGGATTGGACCCGAGCTCTAAAACAAATGAATAGAAGAAAAACAATTGTGAGCAAAAAGAAGAAAAACACGAGAGAACAGCCGGAACGGATCACGTCTATGAAGTTCATCCCTCTCCGGGTGTGTTACGGAAAAAAAGAGCTGACTCATGAGTAAACAACGTCTTGGGCAACAGAATAGCTTGTCTTTGCAACGCAGCCTTTCTCCACGCCAGATTTCCTGATTGGTCAGAGATTAAAGTTATTTTATCATTGCATTTAATATGATTGAATCCACACTTTAGTTGAGCAATAACAAAATGAAACTGGTAATTTGTGAAACAAGAAGTTAGAGATCAGTTATCAAATGACAAGCGTGAAAAAAGGATTGAAGAGGAACACATTTTCTTACAAAACAACACATTAACAGGCTGCAGTGTCATCACTTCCAGACTACTAGGTGTAAATCTTGTCTCAACATTGAAATGCCATGAGGCAAAATTCTCTTCTGGTCTCTTTCTTTCCAAAACAAAATCAATCAAATGTACTATTCACATGCAAGGATGCACTTGAACAATATATACAAAAAACACTGTCTAAAATGACTGTTTTTATCCTTCACAGCTTTTAAAGGGCCCCAGTGTGACCCGAGGGAGATTTTTCACCATTTGACAGGGTACATTGTTTGCCCTGAAACATCTAAAGCACTGTCAAGTATATGTAGAGATGTATATTTCAATACATCCAAAAACAAATGTTCTGCAGCACGTTGAACAACCCTTAACTTAGGTTAAAAGGGAATCTTGTTTTGATGAAACTACTAGAAACTTGGCAGTGGAGTTTCCTTTTACATTTTAAACACTTGGTTCTATCTATGTAAATATTTCCACCACTTTCACTGAAGTGTATACGTGCTTAAAATCACAGACATACATCTGGGAATGTGACCAGCTGCTGAAGAATAACACTCACCTCTTGAAACGGCTTGCTATCCAAATAAATATCTGCAAAAATAATATTGTTTTTCTCATACCCATCACGATGACATGGGACATGCCCTCGAAGGTAGCCTTTTTGATCTTGGAGATCTCGTTCTCGTGGATGCGCAGCTCCTGCAGGCTCTTGGGCATGTTGGCGGGCATGTCCTTCAGGATGTTCTTAGACAGGTAGAGACGCTGCAGCTTGTGCAGAGGACTGAAAGCCTTGGGGTGGATGGTGCTGATTTTGTTGTTCACCAGGATCAGAGCCTTTAGGGAAGAAAACCAGGGGGATTAGATTCTAGTATATCTTTTTATTCTTGCTGCTTGGGGTTGTTGAGTTTTACCACTATCTCCAAAACTCTCCAGGGGAGTACAAACACTCTGGAATTTAAAAGGATGTTTTCAGTCTGTTCCTTATTTGAATTCACAGTGTCTACTGTTCCATTGTTATGGAATATGAACTGCATTTCGAAACGTTACACTTAAACGGCTTTCAATGTTTTGTCTTTCACTCAGAAACATTTCCTGCTGCAAATGCACCATGGGGCTGTAAAAGAAAAATGATTCCAGATGAGATTCTGCAAAAAAGGACATTTTGAGCTAAGCTGCTGTCCTAAGATTGAGGGTCGTGTTCAAGTCCACTACAGAGTTATCCCTAAAGCATTTTCAGAGGACTCTCACGAGGAAATGTGAAGTATGTGGTCCCTTCCCTTGAGAGGCCAGTTACATTACAGAGGAAACAGCCCTGGCCGTCAGACGGAGGTATTTATTGCAAGCAGGAAATCTCCAGAAGTTTGGAGGCGTTAGGGTGTAAGGCCAACGGGTGAATAGTTTCCATGCACCTGGTGACTGGGGGAGTGGAGGATATATGAAGGGGACGGAAAATAATTTGGGATGGGATTGGGAGGTGAAGTGCAGTCCATGTTTGTGAAATTAGCAATTGTTCCGGAAATATTTGACGACACGGTACACAAAACTGTTATTATGTAGTAATAAATTAATGGTGCCAGGCATTTCGAGAATAAAGTTGAAATGCAGAGAATAAAGTTAAACTGTTCAGTAAATGTATAATAAATGAATCTTTTGTAAAAGTTGGATGTTTGACATTTTACTCTACTCCCACATTTCAACTTTTTTCTCATGATGACAAAATCGGACATCATCAATCTGTTTTATTTCCCATTAGGCTTTGCCCTTTTACTCTTCCGTTAAGAACAACCTAATAAATTAACAATGACACTTGTTTCCTCATGGGGATCATGAAGGTTAATATTGATAAATGGTTGCAGTTTGGTTAAAGGTTACATACAAAAACCATTACATAACAGTTGGACTGATACACAGACATGAAGCTCTGCATATGCAGATGACAGTTCTCTTACATGTAGTCCTTTGAGGTTCTTGAAGTCATTCTCCTTGATCTCAGTGATCTTGTTGTTCTGCAGGTCCAGCATGGTGGTGTCAGCTGGGATGTCCTCAGGGACGGTCTTCAGACCTGATGGTGAATATATTTACAGACATCAGAATGATTGAGAATGGGAAACTAAACTTGAGGTTTGGTGGTGACTTCACTCTGATTTCAACATAAAATGGATACTAAACAGCTACCGACTCATCTTTATGATCATGATTAGAGTATTTAGTGCTCTGTTTCATCAGTTGTAGAGTTTTACCGAAATACTAAGGACGTATAGATCTGTAAATCATGTCCATTGTATATTAAAGGGTCTATATATATTTCATTTTCAATGTTTTAATTTGAGAATTGACACAATGTTCTGCCAAAGTTGGACCAGTTTCAGAGATTCATTTGAGAGATAGCTCTTATATAACTTTTCACATTAGTTTGAAATGAAAAGTTTTTATTTTAAATATTCCGTGCACAAATAACACAAGTACCATTCAAGACTAAATCTGATAACATTTTTTGAGTGAGAGATTAGTTTTTGGCCTAAATCTGATCAAAAACTAACTACCAAAGTTTCTTTCTGAACTTTACCTTGATTGTTGCTAATTAAGTTATACATATTTAATGCTTTGTTTAAGTACTTTCTTACTTTTCTGGAACTTAACGCCCTTAAAAACAGAGAATAAGAAACCTGGATGAGCAGAAAATAGTTACTGAGTTCACAGTAGCGACACTTTGAAATAACAAAGTCTGCTTTGTCAACGTAGCATGCTCCATAAAATCTAGGGAGTCTAGGAAAGAATGGGTTTTATAATGACATTCCAAAGGGACCAAATAAGTATTTGATGTGCTCTAGGGCACAGATGGTGGAAATGGACCTTAAAACACATTTCCTTTGGAGTAAGTAAGCGACTGCATACCTGGACACTGAGGTCACGTCGAATCGTTTAGCTTGGACTTTATCGCGTAACGTCATGGCTAATGTGACACAGAAAATGGCATCTGTAGTGAAGCCTGTTTGGTTGAGTGGATCGCTTTTAGAAAACATTGAAAGAAGACAGCTGGGAGTCACGGTGAATGGTTGTCTGCATCCGTGGTAACCCAAAAAATACACAGAGATTCATGATGGGCAGTTTACATTTCAGAGGAATAGGCGTAGAATAAACTGTTTAACAAAGAAGCTTACACTGTTCATCTCCAGTCCACATACGTCTGGAGACATGTTGTCCTAAAAGCTTGTGAAGACTTCTGCTCAGTCACCCAAATAATACCTTCAGCTACGTTTGCTTTTCTGTCAGCCTTTCCAACTCGGCAGTAGATGACCCACAAACCATCACAGCTGTTTGTGGTCACCTCCATTATTGTAGCACCACACGGTCTACCTCTATACTTGCACACACTTTGTTTTCTATTGTTCCTCTCAAAGTAAGACTCAGCTTTTGATGCTCACATTTTCTTTTAACCCGTTTTTTATCTGTATCTTGCGAACACCAAAACGATAAAATTATTTTTGAAATGACATTCCAACATAAACTAACCCTAACCCTAACCCTGACCTACTCCCACCATTTAGTAACATTCATTATCGTAAAATAAGAAGACAAAGAATTAAAAATACCTACAGTTGTACTTCTAATACAAACCCTTGGTTATATAACACATACACAAATAACACTCTAACAACAATGAAATGAGCTGACTAGTGCACATAAATATTGTTGAGTGTCATGTCTTGGTCAGCATCTCACTTTTCAGCTGATAGCCACTTGGCTCGTGACCTTAAGTCTGGCACCACTCATTACTATAGTCACTATGAATCACTCTATTTTAAAAAAGGTGATTAGGAAATCAAGTGATGATTGCTTTGGGCTGTACTCATTTAGCCATCTTGGAAACGTTCAAGCATTAACGACATTGTTTATATAATGTCCTGTTCTTGTCTGGCGCTGTGTCCGGGAAAGTTAATTGCTGCATCACCAATGGCCTGCTTGCCTCATGGAATATGAGTACGTTTTGATTTATTACTACACATCTACCATTATCAGTCACTCTTAAATCAGTGAGGCTGTTGATTGTGCCATTTAAGCTTAAGACAACTGACATTAAGCAGTTGTGCCAGTCTGTGTATAATTAAAACCTCTTTCTAACAGAGTTGGCAAATATAAGCAAATCGGAACCTGAGGCTACATTTTCTACCCTGAATGTTTTAGCTGTCATACTACCAGATGCAAACTAACTCAGACAAATCTACAAAAGCGAGAGGGTGCGTTGGGATGGTGAGCAGACGCTTCTGTCTTGCCCAGGCCTGTGTGTGTGCCCTAATATATACATATAACTTTTAATCCTGTGCGAGTGTGTGTGTTTGCGTGCGGGCCAGCAGGTCTGGGGAACAGATGCAGGCACGAAGCCAACAACGCCAATGCATGAGTTGAGAATAAAGCTCTGTGGAGAAAGTGCTGCTGCTGACAGGGGCCCACTGGAGGACTGATGTAATGGAACCAGCCTTTTCCTGAACATCATGTCTGTCGCTCTGACTGTTGCGCCACCTGCCTAACTGAGTTTAACAGTCCATTTTAGGCCTATTAATCCAGAAGGTTATGAGCTGGTTATGTCTGTCTACTCCTCTTTTTAGTTTTTTCATTTATCCATCTGTGTCACTCCCTCCTGTCCTTCATCTGCCTCCTTAAAGTCTGTGGCCCATCCTTTCCAAATTAAAGCAGAGTCAAAAAACACAACTGCAAAGCGAAGCACTTTTATACAATAATAAATGAGGTCAGGGACTTTTCTATGACAAAGTGTATAAGATGACTCAAGCTGAAGACAAACAGAGTGGATAAGCCCCAAACAACAAAATGACATTGCAGTAAATTGTTGTGATTGCGCTGAATTAAAAAGCCGACAAAGTCATTATAGAGTTTCAACCTTGGTGAGTACGTTTTACATTGGGAAATAAGCTTGTTAAAATTGGGGACTGTTCGGGACTTTCCAAATCCCCAATCTAACCTTCAATCACCAACAATGTTTAAAAATATGTTTGGACAAAAATGGGCAAATAATGTAATTGTTACAGGAAGTGAAATGTCTCACACCATCTGTTAGCAATTAAGGTGTCAACATCGGAGTCATGTTCTCTGGAGGACTTTGCAATTATGCGTGACATAACATACCTCCGGAATGATCCTGTGGCTTTGGGTGGACGGTGGAGCGATTTGCTATTTTGAAAACATTAATGTCACTCTGAATTATAAAAGTAAAATACAACTACTGCAGACACTGGTCTGACCTCATCCCATCCCATCCATTTAAGCGAGCTCATTGAAATCTTAATTGGAAATGGATGTGAACAAGAAGGTTGTTGCATTTCTCAACCATTATTTAAATAAAGTCACATAAGCTGTGTTTCCATTCAATTGTCAAGCTAAATCTAGGCCTGCTTTAGACAAGAAACTGGAAGAAGGCGTGTTGAGAAAATAGACTTGGCTGAAGGGCTATAAGGGTCTACGATTGATCAAGATGACTGATGTTTGGGAAAACACACAACCGTATGAACCTTCAGTGGGGGGTCCAGTTTCTTACCGAGGTCAGAGCACTGGATCACTCGCAGGTGGCACTGGCATCTGAAGGGGCACTTTGGTCCTTCTGGCGAGGTACGGACTGAAGGACCCTGATGAGAGACATCTGTTTTCTCGTCCTGACCTGATCCCGCCTCGTCCTCCATCATGAAGTCTAAAAAGCCGGACTGGCGGAAGGGCAGGGCCCAGCAGGCGGTGACCAGGAGCAGAGAGAGACAGGCCGACCTCATGGCGCTACGAGCAGGGAGCCTGAGGACGAGAGCACACAGTTCAAAGGTCTGGGTGGATACACTTTCAAACTAGTCTGTCTATGATTAGTTTGGAAAATACGATACTCTTCTTAACTGTTTGTTTCTCATTTACTGTTAAAGAAGAGGTTATCATTTTACTGGGCAGAGAGAAGGAGGACATTTATTGAAGTCCATAGGAGCAAAGGGCAGAGGTGAGAGGTGGAGGGCTGAGGTCTGGAAGGTTAAACACTTGGGTGCAACAATTTTGTGAGGGTGGTCAAATAAGCGATTTAACTGGTCCGTTTAAGGCAAAGCAGATTAAGCGTGGGTTAGCGCAAACCAAAATGAGATAATTACACAATATTACTCTGTCCACAGGGACAAGCCCTAGAAGCACCAAATGAAAGTTAGTAAGAAATAGAAAGCAAACAAAAAAGATTTGTTTCACAAAGTAATATGGTCTGGGTTAAATTCTGGTCATGCCCATACCTATGGATAATGCCAATTGTTTTTAACTGTTATGTTATATTTCTGTATTCATCCCTCACTTTAAGCTAACTCTTTCAATCTTTTATAAAATTCATTGTATTTACTAGCTACCAACTTATCTTGATACCATAATACAATTTGTGAATGTCACTTCCTTTGGCAAAGGACATAGAAACCACACTGACTGATACATAACATCTGCATTGGCTGCCACTGTACACCACTGTGCTCCATTTTCTATCCAAAAGCAATGAATCACAGTAGTCATTTATTTGCCATTAAAGTCCTTAGCTTCTATTCTGCTAGTGGAGCCACTGGGAGAGTCCTGCTTCCTTTACATGTATGCTGTCTTCTATTTCTTAACACAGCCACAGACCAGTTGATACATCCACACACCCTCTGAAACTCAGTGTAGAGATCCACAAAACTCCCTGACCTTACACACAGCAACACACACACAGAGACACAAGCGCAGCGTCTTAAAGACCCAGCAATCTGCTTGTCATGCGTTTAACCAAATTTGACTTCCCTCTTGGTGCCACAATAATTGAAGGGCGGACTTTACCCGCAGCTGCTAACAAATGATTTGGGAGAATCCGGTCTGCAGCAGGCCTTGACCTGAACATCATAACCAAGATGATGAAACTGATCCAAAACCATTAGTTGGCCAGACCTGAAAGGGACTCTGGGCATGTTTATAAGGACTGTGTGCATGGGTGAAAATCTTGTGCTATTTTTGATCACTTTCTGTCATTTGAGTTAATATCTGCATATTTATCGCTGTGATTAAAGCAAACATATTTGGTTTTTAAGTGCATGAAATCAAGTGCACAAGTGCTGTGTGGATCTTTATATGTGTAAACTGTAGGAATGAGTAAAACTAATACATGTTAAGGGTTAAATATTTTTAAAAGTGTTCCAAAGTGTGTGTCTTTGGGGGGGAAAGCAAGAGAAAGAGATGCACTGATGCAGTATATATTCAGGTTAGGGTCACATAGGGTCATGGGATCAAGGCTCAGAGGGACTCTCTACACAGGCTGTAATAATAGTTCCTGTCCACAAAACAGCCACCACTTTGACACACTGTACAGCTCGGTCTAGTGGTTACAGTGCTTGCATACAGTATGACAAAGCCTGGAATCACTTCCATTCAGAGGGGAGTTGTGTTGGATGGGATAGCTCTGCCTCTTAATGTTTCTTTTTTCTACTCTTGTTCTGTTGCTATGAAGCGGAAAAAAAAAAAAATCATTTAAAAAGGTGATTTCATAAGTCGGCACTAAGAGCCCAGAGTTGTGTCAGACAGTGTTTGAAGTGTAGATGCAGTTTTCCATGCAAGCTTTTGCCATTTTATCCCATTTGGGAACATGAAGTACTTAGGGGGCGTTGAAACAAAGCTCCGGTCTGAACATACAGTAGACCCAGAGTACACGTTGTTCCAGTCTTCAGCAGACTGAGTAATCTTGGCTGTGTCAGGCTCTCTTATCGAAGCGCAGCCGAAAGCTCAATCAAACAAAAACCTTGGCAGCCGACGTTATGGATTAAGTAATGCAAAACAATCCTGGGTAAAAAAGTGACTGTATATCCCTTTGATGGTTTGTTGTATCCTGCTTGGTTGCCAGATTCGTTTATTTTATAGTATAATACATGAATTGCCAATTCTGGAAAGTATTTGAAAGTCAGTGTATCCCTTCTGATAAAAGTTACTAGTAGGAACTCTTCACATCTGGCACATCTTGCAGGTTGGAACATTCAGAATTATCTTCAAAGACGGGGTACCAGCTCTGCTTAAAGGAAGAGTAATGCACACAATATACCAGAGGTCTCACCCCTGGGTACTGAACCTTATCTCCCTGCTTTGACCCATGGCCAAAAGCACATAAATATGTACACGCACATTTGCATTTTCAAATGACCCTCCATGTGTGCTGCCATCAATCCATCAACCTATGTCCATAAATGCTTCAGCAGCTTTTAATGTGATCCAGACAGGCAAAAGGATAACCGAACGAGAGTGATCTCAAGCTAAGCTCTATGGGCATTTAATGACCGCAGAATTACTGCAAAAACAAGAATTACTGCTACTCTGTGAGTCATAATCAGGACCAGGCCTTGTTCGTGATGAGATTAAAGCCAGATTTTAAGATAAACTCAGGGAAAGGGAGTATAAGGGATTTTCCGGAAAAAAATTGGACAATATCTAACCATTTGTGAACACATCTTCAGAATAAACTATAGATGGTATACATATAATTGAGTTAAGGGATTTAGAATTCGGAGATTGAGGGGATTGCTATGTATGAACATAAGAGTTGTGAATGAATTGGTACATGGTCAACCAAGGCGTGCCTGTGAACATGAAGGTCACTCTAATTCCAAACAGAGAACAAGGAGTTATTGTCAAATTCAATTTTCTTTTCAAAATCTGAATTTCAAGGCCTTTAGCAGCTTTCACCTCTATGCATGAGACAACCTGCTGTGCCCAGGGCGTTGGATCTTTCATTTCACACACACCACACCTGGCCCTGCGGGACGGCCTGCTTTGAAATGATGCCCCCCTACCCCAGAAACACACATATATACACACCTAAAGAATCTACTGAGCACAAGACTCCTCACACCTGTGTCTGTGTGTGTGTGAGCATGCTAAAGCGAGGGCTGCCAACTCAGCATGCTGGAACATGACTTGACCTTGCTACACACTTCATCTCTCCAGGATCAGCACTTCTAATCCCCTTGAAGAAGATGTCTTTCAAATCGATAAGGGGAATACCTTTTATCCCATAACAGAGCAATCCTTATGCAAAGCTGGAAGTCTAACATTGATGTTACAATTGTTGTGCCCTGCAGCCTAGAATAAACATGATCTGACTTTTTTTTACCATTTCTTACATTTTACATATTGAGATGAAACTTTAATATATTTGTATTTATGTTCACCCTGTAAAGATTTAACATATGGTTTTACTATTTGGGTATAGGGTATTAAAAGTATATAATTCTAAAGTCTTTATCTCCAAAGTTTTTTATGAAATGAGCATCACATTAAGGTACGACCGTATGACACCTTTCATGATGGAAATGGGACAGGCTTTATTCAAAAGATCTGGGCTGACAATAATCAGTGCAAATGTAGCAGGAACACTGCATTCCCACTAATGGACTAAATAAACATGCAGAAGATTACATCTTCATCTTTGATTTTAGTCTAATTCTGAATAAGGCTGTGGTGACTTGAAACAGGATTTGTAGTCATTTGAAAGGAACTCAAATGGTCAGCCGATGCCTGTTGAAGCACTGCACGTGGAACTATGGTGGATATAGAAAAGATGTATCAAAAAGTTAAAAGCAATAGTAGCCGTGAGAAGGTTTAGTCTGTATTTTCAAAAGATTTACAATCTGCCACATCCCAGAAAAGGATGTGTGGTAAATGCAACACGAACCATCTCTATCTTCTTCTCTCGCGTCACTGAAACCTGCCATTCATCATCCCAAGTCGGACCAAGAACAAAAATGGGCGGAGGTTGACATTTCCTGTGGTGTCGGTGACCTTGCCAATTCTCCCGTGTCTCTCTTTTGTCTCATCCCTTCTCTCCACTTTCCCCCATGTCTGGCCCCAGCATTACTAATGATTCCCAGACAGGAAGCAGGGCTCGCATGAGGGAGTAAAGTAATTTTCCCTCCATTGCTTTGTCACTTCTCCTCTGTCACTGCCTTCCATTGAAACTATCGAGCTTAGAAAATGAATGAGATATCCGCACAACGTTTACCATATCAACACTCAAACTTCTGAAGCATGAAAGAAAGAGACTTGAGCATGGGATGTTTTCATTTTAACAACTAAATGGAAGAAAATAAAGCAGGCACCAACTCCATCCTGTATTCCCTTCTCCACTCCATCCCCTCCTCTCCAACTCTTCTCTGGCCTGAGTCTGCTTCTGCTCAGTGTCTATCAGCAATGAATCACTGAAAGGTATTTACAAGGCCACAGGACGTTTAAAACACGTTTGGCCCTGTTAACCCATCAGCACATAAATATGAGTTCTCCTCCCACAGTTACACACCAACGCCTGATCAATATTCATGTAGAAATGTAAAAAAGGGAGTTCACAAGCCCTTCTTTTGGCAGTGGTGTGAGGAGTCAGTGGTCTTTCTTCTTAAACGAATGTCTGATATATCAGGGGATTTTATAAGTGAGAACATGTGTATCTGAAAATATGCAAAGATACGGCCAACAAACAATTTCAGAGTCAAAGCATTTTTGTAATCGGAGTGAGAGGCCAAATTAATCTTGTCTGGAAAATAGCCATCCAAGTTCCCATGTATGTTTGCATTGGATGTTCTTGGCTTCAACAATGCCCAAGACACTACTATCAGTAACATTTCTTCATGCAGAACAAATAGTGTCAGAGCCATAACTATTATTGAAGGATCATTTAAGGGTCTCTAAAGCATTCTTGTTGTTTGGAGCCATGGCATGAGAAAGCCAACGAGTGGTTTAACCACATTTCAGCTGTTCCATGAGAAGAGCTGTCGGCCTGCCATCAACCTCAGTCCCATTATCAACAGTCTGCGCTGCACAGACGTGGACTAACTGCCCAACCTTTCTTCTCTTTCCATCTCCTACTCCCTTTCTGTGCTCTTTTCCTTCCTTCCCCGAGCTTATGGTATTTTCTTTCCCTGTCTGACCTTTAAACCTTTGGCCGGAAAGATTGACATGTGGAACTTTCTGTTATTCCAGTGAGCAATGGGTGGAAAAGCCTTCATGGCTGATGTCCATTAAATTCCATTGTTCTTCTTGACCCAGAGAGTTGAAATCCGGATGGAAAGAAATGCAGCCTTGAGAGCAAATCTGGGCCTTGTCTCCTTCCAACCTTCCTTTCACTCATGTCTGGTTTAAATGTTAAACATCAGTTCAACTTAGAAGTATAAACTACTGAAGTACTTTCATTGTTCTGAGTTTATTTCAGAACTGTGTTTATGCCTTAATGTAGTCTGTATTTGATTATAAATCCCACTTTTGCATTCTAGTTTGTTTGTCTCACTTTTTCCCTTGTTCAGTTTCACTCCACTCAATTCAGAGCAGCTGAGCCTTATTAGGTTTTTTCCCTTCTGGCAAAGAGGATGTAATGAGTTAGCTAAGAGTTGTGTGGTGGCTTGCCGGGAAGCCTTCAGTCCTCCCTTTGATAGAGGAAGCTGTACCATTACGGGATTAATGGAACCGTGCGTTGCCAGGTACAGCTTTTTTTCTTTTGCCTCTTCAAAGCCTCTCACTTTATGTTGCCCCTAGCAATTTAGTTCCTGTTCTGCTCCTGTGAAAAACCCAGCAGCCGAAGCCACGGTGGGCAGCTTGACTTTGAGAAGAAACAGGGCCGCAGAGCAGACAGATAAGAGATTGGGGTTCGAATCGTCTGGTTGCATTCTCAAGTGAACTGCTGAAATGGAAAGTGTGAGAAGCAGGAAAAACGACTTTTTCCAAATCAATGTCCTGACAAGCAATTATGAGCTGAATAAACACAAATAAATCCTCATTGTTGTTTCAGTTTCTTTCCCCCTCATTTGTTTGTAGACTGCACGACTGCCAGAGGGAAAGAAAAAAAGGGAGGAAAAGAACGAAAGAAAGCTAAACAAAGAGAAAGGGAACAAATAAATGCAACAAAAGTATTTTCCAAACTTCCAACTAAAGTCTTCTCTCTAGAATCTTAATTGTATGCATTCCTCTCACTCACACCCTTGTTTTTATGTAAGCAATACAAATCAGAGTGCCATGTTTAAAACAGCTCACTCACAAAACGATGCACTTCCATATGGGTTGCATCCAAACAATCAACAAACACTGTGTCCAAATGCTTTTAATAAAAAGCAACAAAGTTAGAAATGCTATCTGAATAAATGCTGAACACACCATATGGCACTTAATGTTGAATACCTTGCAGATTAACGACGGGCCAGGATAATACGTTTTTTGGCAGAGGAGTGAGGTACCAGCATCAACTGCACTACCACACCCCCTTCACTATAGCCGCTGCTCTTTTCACTGAGCTGTATGCAGATTGGACTGGAAATTATTAAAGGTCTCTCATCTCAAAGCCAAGAGAGCTGTGGGAACAAGACCTGGCAACATATATGTAATATACATACATGAGTTTATGAAGAGGTGGAACAAACATACTCAATCCCAGTTTAACAAACTACACAAAGAGAAAAAGGTGGATTCTTATCTTCACAAACATAAATCATATAACATATCATCAGCAAACAGTCTGATTTTTGAATAAGGAATACTAGACTTTGTCATAAAAAAGGTCACCTTACAGCAAAATTCTCTTAAAACTATTCTAATCTCTCTTTTTAAAAAAACCTCATTTCACCCACTTTTACTCATACTTTCTTCTTATGTCAGAGATAAAGGAGTTACATACCTGTTCTCAGTTGAAGCAAGGCAAAGATAGTTTAAGAGATGAGCTTGACTCACAAAAATCCAGTCGAGTGGGGGGGATGAGACTGTGAAGTGGCTGCGAGGGCCTATGGGGTAATTGGACTCAGAGCGCGTGCAGCCAAGATCAAGCAGGTGTGCTCTGTCACAACAAGGGGAGGAGAGAGAGGGGGAGAGAGACAGAGGAGTGAGAGGGGAGAGAGATAGAAGGAGGGAGGGTCCGACCGCCAAGCTCCTCTGAGGACAGAAACAATTGGTGGAGAACTTCCCTGGTTCTTGCTGTGTGCTCCAAAAACAGCTGGAAATGGAGAACGAGGGAGAAAAAAAGAGAGAGAGAGGGCAGGAGAAGGGAGACAGGGCGAGGGAAAAAGAAGAAAGAAGGAAGGAGCCGAAGAGAAAGAGGCAGAGAGACGGAGTTTAAAGCAATAAGCAGTGATTCGCCTGGCAGCCACCCTCACTGTGACATCTGGTAATGATAGGTCCTGTGTGGAGCTTAGCAGAGAACGCTGCACACAAACTCTTTCTTTCACACTCTGTCATTCATCCTCATTCAACCTCTTTACTGACTACCCCCAGGGGAAAAAACAAAGACAACACACAAACACAAACTTTTTTCAAATCTATTGAGAGTGGCATTTCCTTCCAGGAAGCCTCAATCTCAGTTTTAACCCCTTTCCCCAAATCCTGATTAGGTGTTCTCTTGGAATGTATTGCCCAAAACAGACAATTAGGCACTTTTGGGGACTTTGTGGGAGGTAGAAGGCTTCATTCTCAGTCCTCTTTTCTTCAACCCTATCAACAGAACATTGCTATTGGAAAATGTGCATGGCAACTACCATATGGTTAATGTTAGGGAAAGATTGTTGTTTTGGTTAATGAGTCTACAACCAAGCTAGCGGCTCTGTGAGGCTGCTCAGTGTTGCTAATGTCAGTATGCTAACATGCTCACAATGATAATGCTAACATGCTGGTGTTAACTATTTTAAATTGTTAATTTCTAAATACCATGAACAAAGTACATCTGTTGTTGATGAGATTGTCATCAGTTCTGTAGCTATTTAATCAGAAACCAAAGTACTGGACAATTAAATATTGTAATGATAGCCCTAAATGAAAAGTCAGGTAATATTAAAAGTTATTCAAATTCAGTTGGCCAGGAAAGACTGTACCTATTTTCTTTGGAATCCATCCAATAAATTCACAGACATTTAACTCAAAACCACTAATGCTACCCTGATAGTGACAGTAAAAACATTGTAAGGGGATTCTCAAAGTATTAGAAATACATCATCTGGGCACCATGGACGTCTGTACCAACTTTTCAAGTCAAGTCAGCAGAAGTTGGAATTGAACTTAAATCCCAAAGTGCGAAATAAACCAATATGGATGTAATTCATGGGGATATTGCTTTTTAATTATTTTCACTATATAAGCAGAGTTGCTGGACAGTGCACTTTCTGGACTGGTCCTGTCAAGGATGGATGTCATCAGAGAAGGTATAGTGTTTGGGGTTTAGTGGGGTCTGTTTTAACCAGTTTAGCCCTGAGCCTTTTTTTTTCAGGTCTCAGGCTCGAAAATGACATTCCCAGAACAAATGACCATATCTTCCCTTCTAAAATTGTTAAATTAATAATATTTTTCCTCAAAGTAATGATAAACATGTGCGTTAGATGTAGAAGAGTCCGAACAATATAGATGTTTTTTTATTTTAAAGAAAATTCAGATTGAACATAAAACAAATTATTTTGTACTTATAGTGAAAACTACCCTTGGATGATGGTAAGGTAGACTAAAAGCTTTAGGAATCCAAAGTACAACATATAATAAGTACCCTGTATCAAGATTGATGCAAAACAAGTGACATTTGACCTTTTTAGAGAGGTTTAGCCAAAAAAACTCCACCTCTGAGGTGATTTGGGTGGAAATGGGGGTTTTACCGTTTCTCTGGAACCCATTGGTCGATTTTGGTGATTGACATCTCTTTCTGACCGTTAGAGCCAATAGAATCGAAGGGGAATCTCCCCACTCACACACATGGTAAAACAAAAAGGTGTGGGCTTCGCCCACATAGTTTTACATGAGAGTGAAGTTGTCTCTAGCTCTGACATCGGGAAACCGAAAAGCAGGTTTATTGCTTATGGATTATCAGAAATCATTTCAAAGGGACACAGACACATTGGATTAACCTATGGATTAACTTCAGCAGCGTTTTTATCGTTTTAATGCCATTGAAGACCACGTTTGACCAGACTACGACACAGGTGAGCCATGTTAGCATTTTTAGCTACAACATGTTTTGATGTCTGTTTTTGTTTATAAAGTCGCGATTTCGTATAATTGAGTGATAATGAGGGTACCCTTCGATTCTGTGTCACCTCACCATGTGAAACGATGTGTTGGATGTGCAGCAAAGATAAATAATAAGGTTTTGTGAGTGAATTTCGGTGCAGTCATCTGTTAGCATTTTTCGCTCGTTGCTAATTCAGAGGCTCAGCGTTAATGATCAGTTAGATGAGTTTCTTCCCGTTACATGGATATAAAACATTCATAGTTTATTAAATGAACATGCCCTCAGACACTGTTTCCTGCAAGATGTTGCGGCAGTGCCCCGGTACCGGGGTCTCTCTGGTTTAACAGGTTTTAAGCCCCAATTGAACCGTCATCGTGTGGAAACTGGAGGAAGTTAAGTGTTAAGAGAGACTGTGTCGTATTGTTGGAGGCAGGTCACATGTTTAACTTCGGCATTAGGCAATATCTCCATCAGCAGCCATGTGTTCAGTTGGCGAGCAAGACTCTGCCTCTATCTGCTTCCTTTGTTTTAATTTCTTCTGGGTCATAACACTTTGAATGGAAATGATGATACATGGTTATAGCTTTCAAATCACTAATCTTTATTCTTGTGTTAATCCAGATTTAGTTCCGCATTGATAACTAACAAAGTCGGATGCAGCCCTGTCAAGCCATGTTGAGTTGACAATTTCCTATCATATTTGATCCAAAAAGGTGTTTTTATAGCAGCAACAACACAATACCAATTGTTATCTTACAGCAGGGCTCTGTTTGCTGTTGTTCCAGTCTAATAGAGTTATTTTTAAATGAGTGAAAGCAGTACAAGGAGGTTATCTAACCATGAAGAGCAGCAGTAATTGAAGCGGCTGCATCCTTTCAGATTGTTTACTTCGATCAAATCCGTGTCTCAACACTTCTATTCTTGTTCTTTACTTTGATCCCTGGATTTTGATAACACTGATCATAAACACAATAACTGGATGAGTTTTTAGCATGAAAGAAATACTCTACTTCCTTCAGATGCTCAATTAATCTGCTTTTTCTCTGCTTTTTGCTCTCACTCTGAAGACTTAAGAGGATCAGATAGAAGAAGAGCAGGTTTCATCCTGTTTTGCTTTTCCTCCCTCAACTTGACAGTTTTTCCCGGCAGAAGGCAAAGAGGGGACCACACAAGTGGTGGCCCCAAGTGTGTCGAAACGCTCCAGTTCTGTCTCAAAAAGATTACTCTTTTGGGTAGATAAGCACTTTGCTTTTAACGTTTTTTTGTACCAAATAATGACTTTAACTAGAGTGCATTTGTCGAGGGTTCAAGGAAACCTTAACAGAGAAGTTTGATTTGGGTCAACAGATGGATGGAACGAGAGGAGGAAAATACAAGAATGGAAAAAGGTCAGAGTCCAGGAGGATTACAGCATGATATGAAGTATTGTATAAAGCCAGGTGTCCAACTAAAATTATGAGATCATGCCTGGCATATTTGACCAAAAAAATGGATTCAGAGGGAAAAAGGTCTGGATCCTTCACTATCTGGCAGTTGATGGAAAGCAGGCCTATTATAGTAGAGGGAGGAGGCAGTTTTGCCATGAGACGTGGCTGCTGTGGAGACACAGAGGTATAATGGAAATCTAATCTGTAACCTCCTGGTAACCGGGGGGCCTTGAACAAGAGTCTTTGTTGTTGAAACTGATGATTGACCTCCCTCAGGCAGACACAAGCAAAATACCTTTAAAAGTGTTGTAGAACATACACATTTCTTAAAGCTAACACCTGTGTTCTCATTATATCCCAATGCAGAAACAAAAATATTTGAATAGAGCTTTTAAGAGAAATAGAAACCTGTTTAGCCCGAGAGCCCCCGGTTTTTCTTTTCACGAAACTGTGTCTCGGCTTCTTAATATTTAAAAACCAAATATTAAGAAGCCCTGAGACACAGTTTCGGGATTAACGGGAAGAAACTCAGCTAACTGACAGTACGAACCATTTTTACCAAAACAAAACACAAGTCTCATAAGAAGTGTCTAAATGACCACTGAGCGAAAAAATGCTAACGCACTTGGCACAGAACTCAAGGTAAAAATACCCTTATTACTTATCGTAACTGCACATACAAGATATCCGATTAAAGCTGAGATTCCACAGATTATATAGGTAATAGTATCATCACTGAGCGATCAGAACTGGCGACAGGGGAAGCAAACACAGACATCACAACACGTAGCATTACGGAGCAAACACGGGAGATCGTCTCACTTTAGCTGTTATTCTGATCAAAAGTTGGGTTCAATGGCATTAAAGTGATAAAAACGCTGTTGAAGGTTAATCCATAGGTTAATCCAATGTGTCTGTTACTTTGAAAAAATTATTGATCCATAATTCAATTTGTATGTAAAAATCAGAGATTTTAAATTAGCTGCTAATGGTAGCCACCAGAGTGTATAGTACCTTCCGGTTCCTTGGCATTCTGGCTGCGCAGCACTCATTCACCAATGGGTAATGTTTAGATGGATTTTAGGATATTCCCCTCGATTCTATTGGCTCTAACGGTTAAAAAGAGATGTCAATCATCAAAATCGAACGAGGGGGGCCAGAGATATGGAAAATGCACCCAAAATGACCCCACAAGTGGGTTTTTTCTAAATCTTGTTTGCATCAATCTTGATACATGTGTTATAGTTTGGATTCCTAAAGCTTTTAGTCTACTATCCCATCATTCAAGGGTGGTTTTCACTATAAGTCATTTTTTATTTTTGGACGCACACTATAATTTAATTTGTTTTACTATGTTCAATCTGAATTTACTTTAAAAATAAAAACATCTATATTGATTCTGACACTTCTACATCCAACTCACAGATGTAACCTTGTTTTTTTTATTAATTTACCCCATTTAGAAGTAAAGATATAGTCATTTGTTCTGGGAATGTCATTTTCGAGCCTGAGACCTGAACAACAGGCAAGTTAATCCAGCACAGAAAAATACCTATAAAAAAAAGTTACTTTTTTGAAAGTGGGATTTCAGGTGGCCTTAAGTTTAGTTTGGAGAGATGAGCTG